ATGTTAGACGGCAACAACTAACTGGCACCGCCCTTCTCATCAACACAAGCACCTCTGGGCAGCTGGTGAGCCCTGGCACTCAGGGCCTGAACTCTGAGCCCTCCCAGTGAACTTTCCTGGGCACAGATATTGGGTTCCAAGGTCCCTTTTGTTACCCATGTCTTTGCCATCCAGATATCATGGGCAGATGTCATCTACTCCTGCCTGGTTGGTGATACTGGGTACACACATGTATGTCAGGAGCATCAGTCCCTGCGTCTGAGACCCTGGCCCCCATACTGACTTGTTCAGCAGAAAAGAGTCACTTCCTTCTGCTCAGTCATAATACAGAAAAGTAGTATCAGTGATACTGTTGTCTGCAATACTGGACTGAGTGGGAAAGTCCAGAGAAAGTAAGTTTCTGCCCGGGACATCCCAAGATAAACAATGAGGCCCTGAAAATGTTATCATGAAGACAGCTCAGACCAGGGCCTGGTGGGAAAGAAAGCAGGTTACCCTGAAAACGCTTTCATTCCGGGATTCTTCTCCACCTTTCCCATTCTAGGCACCAGACCTGGCCCTCAGCCGTGGAGATACAAAGATGAGTAAGACTGCTCTGAAAGGACTCTGAGCCAAGCGAGTGAGCACACACACCAAACAGACACACATGAGCCATTCGTTATGAATGATAACACAGGAAGAGCACGGGCATGGATTGGGTAAGACCAGAAAGTAACAGGTTTTCCATTTGTTCAAACACGCCAGAATCTGCGCATACAAATGAGCAATTTTCATTAAGAACTTTCACCTTGGGACGCCATCCTGTTTTCAACACTGCTGCCCCTTCCCGACTTCTCTTCTGGAAAGACATCAAATAAAGGCTCATACAAGAAAATGCCTCACTACCAACAGATAAAGATGGGACCACCCTGCCTGCCTTTTCAACAAATTTGGTAGTAAAGACCTGTTTACTCTTTCAAGAAAAAAATAATCAAACTCCTCTTTCAATTAATAAAGGCCCACTGCCTTTGAGAACATTGAAAAACATATGTAAACCTTTGAATGCAATTAAAATCTAACTCCTCTGTGTGCATCGTTAGAATGTGAGGCCCACCAGGGTGATTTCTCTGAGTGGGCAATTCTCATTTGAGTATCATACAAGTTCTACTGGTTCCACTGGTTCTAGGGTTGGGAGCTGTCTGTCTAATTGCTTTGTGCTATGGATACAACTTTGAAGCTTTTAGTTCATTTTCCTCAACCAGAAATCCAAGCCCTTGAGGTCAAACCGCCTTCCAATTCTGGATGTGGTGAATGCCCTAAAAGCAGGTGGGCTCATGGGCAACTGAGGGAGTTTGGGGTGCCCTACACCACGGTCCCCATCAAAGTCTCTAATGAGGGACATAGTGTGGAATGTTTGGGCAGGGAGTCAACCTTTTGGCATCTCTGGGCCACACTGGAAGAAGAGCTATCTAGTGCCATCCATTAAATATATTGCGACAGAAAATCACCAAAAAAAATCTCATGTTTTAAGTAGATTTATGATTTTGTGTTGGGCCGCATACATAGCCAACCTGGGCTGCATGGGGCCCACAGGCCCCAGGTTGGACACCCCTGTGTAATGCTTTCAAAGGAAGCTTAGGTCAATGTGAAAAGAGGTCCCTATTTCCCTCCTTGCTTCAATGTCCGAGTCCTTTCTACCTGTCCTTAATGATGAGACATCTTTGTGGCTGAGGTCTTGGGGAGCTGGCTGTGCTCTAGCTTCAGCGCCCAGTAACCGCGCCCCCGCCCTTCCGCCACTGGCACTGTCTGTTCCACAGACAAACACTTGGGAGCTGCTCCAAGATAAGCTTCCTGGGCACAACCTGTGTGTGTCTAACCAAACAAGGTGTCATTAACACCTGTAGCTCTACCTGCTTACCTCTGATTAACCTTATCCGGGTACGGGTTTAAGTATGACTCCAACCCGAAGAACTCCTGTAGGCTCTGGGGCCAAACATGCAACAGGGAACCTGGAACACGGAGGCTGGTGGGGGTGGGATGGAGCCAAGGAAGGCTTCTGACCCGCACAAACATCCTGCTGGTTTATGGAGCCACTGGAGATTTTCAAGGCTCCACAGGGGCACATATTCATCAACGACACTCCGTTCAGCAAATTCCTTTTGAGGTCCCCAGACATTTAACTTCACATCCGTGGCTAAGCCCATGTGTGCGTGCATGTGTCCGGTGGCGGCGGCAGTGGTGCAGGCAAATGACCCCGGCAAGTAAGCTGGAGTCATCCGGGCGGAGACGGCTCAAATCGATTGCTCTCCTTTTCCTCCAGGGGCGAGCGCTGCAGTGCCATGTCCAGTAAGGGTGACCGCTGGACACCTACTTCCTCAGCTCTTGACAGCTCTAGCGAACGAGTGTGGGCACCCATGCAGCCTCTCTCCCCAGACCCCCATTTAAAGATGGCCGCCAAACCCAACCTCAAGAGAACATGGCCTGGATAGAAGCATCTCTTTTCCGCTGGACCCCAAGGTCTAAAAAAGTGAGGGAAGTCACGTTCTACTAACTCAAAGTACACCAGTGCCCCCTTATCCATGGGGGACACATTCCAAGGCGCTAGTGGAGAATGAAACCACAGAACTGAACCCTGTGTGACTAACAGGTGGATAGCATACTCGGCCTGCATATGCTGGACCAAGGGATGATTCGCTGCCCAGGTGGGACAGAGAAGGATGCCATATGATTTCATCATGGTCAGAATAATGTGCAATTTAAAATGTATGAATTATTCATTTCTAGAACTTTTCACTAAATCTTTTCGGACCACAGATAACTGAAATGGAGGAAAGTGAAACCATGGGTAAGCAAGGAACTACCACGTTCAAGTGTGGTATTTAAACCAATCACTGGGAGCTAGCTGGAAATGCAGAGTCTCAGGCCCTACCCCAGAGCCTGCAGAATCAGAATCTGCATTTAAAGGAGGTCCCCAGGTAATTCACAGGCACACTGAAGACTGAGAGACAGCACTTCAGACGGGAGCAGATGGGCACCAGAAAGACCTTTCCTCATTAGTTCAAGCTTTTTTGCCCTGGGAAAGGGGTGGGGTGAGGTGTGTTTTGGAGGAAGATTTCACACCTTGGCTCACTGAGGCAGAGGCAAGCCAGGGTTCCCTGGTTATAGACTGAGAGCTGTGCCTGCTGCACTGGACACCCCAGTCAAGAAAGGCCTGGCTTCAGGCTCCTGGCACTGCCAGCTTTCTCCCAGTTGGGCTCAGAAACTAAGTCACACTCGGATGCAGAAGCTCCTTCCCCTCTCTCCCACCTAAAGACCCTCAAAGAGAAGAGGATCTGACAGAAAACACCCACTTCCTAGTCCAGAGTGAGAAGTGGAGAGTTCGCTACATAAACAGTGCTGCTGGGTGTTGCTTCCAATCTGATCTGTCCCCATGCAGCAACAAAATATACAAAAAAAGGGGCTTCTGGAACCTTCGGAACTGCCCCAGTGCCCACCCTGAGGAGCAAACAGATTCACTCCCTTGCTCGAAGCACCCCACACCCCCAACTGTTGGGAAAGATCCTGAAAGACACATCAGGACACAGAAAAGCAGAGCAGCATGGACTACACAAAGGTCAGCCAGGATAGAGAACTGAAGACAAACGTGGCAAGAAGACTCCCCAGCAACTTCTCTTTGGGGCGTTTTAACAGGAGAGACAACAGTTTCCCCCTCTATGCTTGGTTGCTGCTTCTTGCCCCACTTGGGAAAACGATGTGACATTGGAAAACAAAGGACACGCATTTTAAGCTTTGGGGCCTTAGAGCCATGTTCTGTAGCATAAGGCAGCCCGGCTGGACGATGATCCCCTAACGAGTCCAACGTTGTGTGTTTTGGATCAAACAGCCCAAGACCTCGGATCTGGCTGTGCTCGCCGGTGGTGGGACAGCTGCCTGAGAAAATAAGCACGTGGCCCCGGACGCTGGCAAGAGATGAGGCTGCACCGAGCCCGCCCCGCCCGCGTCTGCCCGCACCCCTGTCTCTCAGTGCAGCGCCAGGATCTGTGGCCGCTTTTCGAGTAGTTTGGGCAGGAGCAGTAGAGGAGGGTGTTGGGGAGGGAAGAAGGGCAAAAAGGGGTGAGGGCAGTGCGAGGATGGGAGGGACTTGGTGAGCCACGCAGAGGATTTCCTTATGCAAACAGGCGCGCAGGTTTCATCAGCGCCTGTGCGCGGGGGATCGGGGCTGGGAGGCAATGCCTGGCTCCGGAGGGCAGCCCAAGGCTGGCCCCAGCCCGTGCCAGCTCAGCTTCCTCTTCCTCATCCACTCTTAGGGAGGTCACACGGGGCACCCCCTCCCTCCCGGACAGGGGAGCGTGTTTTTCTGCTCGGCCCTGCGCGAAGCCCCAGGTTCCTCCGAGGAGTTCCCACACCGCGAATAGGCAATCTGCCACCGGTGCAGGCGACGTGCTGACGGAGCGGGCGAGCACCCTCAGCCCAAAGCCTCCGTCAGAGGGTGGTATCTCCGCCCGATGCAAAACTGGGGGTATCTCCGGAAGGAGAAAAAGGCTCCGCAAGAGTCATTTACCCCAACATAGGACGCCCGTCCCATCCCAACAAACTCCCAGGCGAGTCCTCTCCTTGATCGGTGGGCGCCTTGACCCCACTGTATTCCGCCTCACGAGTGCCCCCAACACCCACAAGGGACAGCACGCCTCAGCCAGTGGCAGTCCTGGAAGCGTGCCTTTCTGTTTGCGTGGGGGACACTCAGCTGTCGCTCCCATAAAGAGGAAACTAATGGGAGAGTTTGCAAACCCAGCTCTGGAGGACTCACGCAGAACGCAGGCAACGGGACACGGCCACTCGCTCGTTCCCTGTGGCCACCTCCGTGACCCTCGCTGCCTCCCTGATGCCCCTTACCCGTTCTTCCCAGTCACCGTGACCCTGGGTCTGGTCGCCCCGTCCAGTGGACGGATCCCAATCCCGCCTGCTCTGCCCAGTCCGTCCTCTCCACCGCCCGCACCCGGACCCCGAGAGCCCGCGCCTACCTCCCGGGGTGGTGCTGAAGAGCGTGCCGCCGGGGGTGGTGCTGTAGTCCCCGGGGGGCAACTGCACACCGTCGCCGAGGACCACCCGATGAGCAGCGGGGATGGCCCGGCTTGGGGTCTGGCTGCAGCTGCTGCCCCCGGACATGGTCTCCCGCGCACTGTGCCAGTAGCCGGAGCGTGGCCCTCTTGCAGCTCCAGCCTCGCCCCGCCTAGCTCGGGCCGGCCCCGCCCAAGGCAGTCCCTTCCGTTTGGTTCTCTCAAGCCCCCTGGGATTTGTAGTTCAGGCCATTCCGCAGCCCCTCCAGCCGCCCAGCTGCTCCCTGCACTTGGGTTCCTCTGGATCCCCCGATGGGAGGCCCTCTACCGACCGTCGCTCGCCCGCTGGTGCTGCGCCGACCCCTTTTTTCCTGCCACTTTCGCTCCTGGGTCCCTCCCAACTTCGCTGGCAGGGGTGGGTGGGCGTGGGGGTGTCGGGAGGCTTGCCTGGGTTAGTACATCCCCGGGTCAGGGGTGTGTCTCCCCCCTCTGCCGGGATCCCAGCCGACCGGGGCCACTCTGGGAGGCCTGCATGACGACATCGGGCAGCTCAGCCCTTCCTGTTCTGTGCCTTAGTTCCTCACATAGAAAGTGGGGGTTCACTGGGCATTCACCCGTCCTTGGTTTACTGAGCATTCACGACGTGGCAGGCTTTGAAGAAATGGCTGAGAATGCTCCCTCCCTGGCTTTGGAGAGGGTGTGGGAGAAGCCCGCGCGAACGAACCAGCCAGCTGAGCGATAAGGCTAAACGTAGAGCGAGGTGGAGCCGGAAGGGATAGGACAATCGGTGGAGGTTGGGGGAGGGGTGGGGGTTGATCAAAGAAGCTTCTTTGTAGCTCTTTGAGTTGGGTCCAAGGCCCCGCAGGCTGCTTGACATTTCGTAGGCAGTCCTTGAATGGATGGAGGCATGAATGTTCGAGATCCCTAAGTGGAGAGAGAAAACTGCAAGGAGGAGGGGAAAGCCTGTTGGGTGAGAGAACAGTTAATGTCATTGTGGCCACAACTTGCAAGGAGAGAACGGTTTAAAAAGATAACTGGGCCTAGATTGTGAAGGATCTTTTAAATATGCTGAGGTGTTCAGCCTTTGTCCCTCGAGGGCAGGAGATTCCAGAGGTCTTCTAAAGCTGGGGGATGACGTGATTTAATGTTGTTTAGAAAGATAACTGGAGTTAGCATGGACCACAGGAAGGTGAGGCCTGAGGAAGGTCACTCCTGAGTTCAACTCCAGGCCTACAACGTCCAGTAAGGTAGCCTCTGGGCTCGTGTGCTTGCGAGGCCCTTGAAGTCCACATTCGCGATGTAAAATACACACTCCACTTCAAAGAATTAGAGTAAAAATGGTGTAAAAGATGTTGAAATAATAATTGGAACATGTTGGCTTAAGTGAAATCCATTGTTTAAATTAATTTCCCCTGTTTCTTTTTATTCTTTGTAGTGGGACTATAAGTGTTTTTTATGTATACACATATACATATGGCTTATAATGTATTTCTACTGGATAGTGCTGCTCTAGAATGAGGCAACATGTAAGCAATCCCAACGTTCTTCTCAGAACTTTTCTCCAAGAAAACTATGGACTTGTCAAATTTTAGCTTTGTCCAGGTACCTTATACCTCATCAAGGACAATATTCACCTCCATTTTGTTAAAAAATGAACAAAAACAAAAACCAGAGGCCCAACAGGAGCAGGGGTTTGTCCAAGACCCCCCAGCTGTGAAAAGCGAGGCAGCACTAGAACCCGGAGCCGCTTCCAGGCCAGGCTGGTCCTTTTCCTCCCCACACTAGAAAGCAAAGTGGCCCATTCTCCTCTCCTGGGAGGAACTGTTTTGAAAGGGGGTTTGCTCTGGTGCCACATTGACATGTGTGTTTGGTTAGCGCAGACTGTAGGGAAGAGGCCTGCTTTGAAAGCTAACACTCAGTAGGAATGGCAGGGGCAACGGGCATGGGTTCTAGCCCTAGTGCTGCTGCTAAACAGCTGTTGTGCCTCGGACAAGTCCCTTTCCCTTTCTGGCCTCAGTGTCATCATCTGTTGGATGAGACGGGCAGATGTGAAGATATCAGAGAACCCTCGGCAACAACATTTTATTTTATTTTTCTTTCGTAGTTGAAATTTTATTCGTTGCCTTGAAACAGTGACATTTTATGTCTTTGACAAACTCATTCTGGATTCTGTTCCCTGCCCAGCCAGGTTACCTGCAGTGGTTTCTGCCTCTTTATAGAGCAGAGATTCATTCATATCAACTCATGTAATCAGGGATCAGTTCCCATCAGGCAGGGACACCACGGGAGTTGTCTTTCAGAAGGGTGAGCGGTGGCACCCAGAGCGTGTGTTCACTCAAGCTCACTGGGGACAGCACTTACCTTGGAGAGGCCACCGGCACCACTTCGGGTGCTCAGCTGCCAAAGCCAGAACTGTTTATTTCTGTCTTCCCTCCGAGGCTCTTTTAAACCTATTAGCTTCTGACTGTTGTAGCGCTTCTAGCGGGAGGTCAAACGAACAAAAGCAGAATGTTTTCTAGAAGAAAGATAAGGAGGGGGGCTCAGAGAGAACAGTTTCCGTCCTATCTTGCTCTAGTGGAGCAAGGCAGGCAAGGACAGCGGGGCTGATGTATATCATTTCAAGTGGAGTTTATCTGGGTAGCCACCGGTCATACAGGCCCAGTCCTTCTGGTATCTAACGCTTTGTGATGTTAAAATAAATAAATAAAAATTAAATATATCTATTTATTTGTTTATATTCAACATATATATATGTTGATATATATATATATCAACACACACACACACACACATATATATATATATATATATATATAATCAACAGAAACTAAGAAGAGCCCTAAGCAGGCACTGGCCCTCCCGGTGTTCATCTCAACACAGCTGAGCTGGACCAGTCGGGTGTGGGTGGGGAAGGAGTGCCGCGAGAGGGTCCCCAGGAGGGGCTGGCTGCCTGAGAAGGAAGTAGCAGGAACCCCGAGAGGCAGAAGTGCTTCACTTCGCTGAGTTAGACTACAGTGGAGGCTGACTTCCAAAGGCCCTCAGGCTAGGGAGGGATTGTGGGGAGGTAGTGAGAGAGAAGTGACCTCTTGTGTCTGTCTTAATCCTTCCGGATGTTATTTGATCTTCAGCTCTGGGAGTCCTTCACAGCAGCTAGCAGTGCTGCTGTCGAATGCCCCGGCCCATTCTTATATGACAAGGGCTCTTCTGTGCATCCTGCCCCAAGTACAGATTCAGCCTTCCTCTGCAGCTCTGGCTTCCATCCCGGATGGATTCACAGTGTCACCCACCCGCAGGCACGTAGGCCTGGCTTTTCTGGTAGGAAAGCTTGGAACCCAAGACCACTCTTTCTCCTTCCCTTCCCCTCTCTCAAAAAAAAAAAAAAAATTAAAAAAAAAAAAAAAAAAAAAAAAGCTTGGTGAGGTTAATGGATATGAATGGAATGAACACTGCCCTGTGCAGGCCTGGGGGGGGGGCCTGTTGGGCGTGTTGGTCCTTGTCCATTTGATGCTGGTTAACGTGTTTGTCTCCTGGTGCTCTCCCTGTGGTACTGGGTCTACTTAGATAGCCCTGCTTGCAAACCCCAGGTGTTGGCTGAAGAATATCTCCACTCTGTACCTTCAGGCGTCTCGACATTCAGCCCCTTGGTGCTCATCAGCGGTGACACCATGCCTTTCAGCTCTGCTTTGCCTCTTAAAGACTCAGTGGCAAGGCGATTTCTCACAGCAAGAGCTATTCCTTTTCAACCATAATTTGTTATTCTCTAGTCAGTGGAGAACATGCTTGTTTTCCTTAAATGCCTTTTTTAAATGATTGAATCTTGGTCTGAGGCAGAAAGTACAGGAAGCTCTCATGATATAAAAAAGCACAGGAGCCTTTAAAGGTCATGTGGCCATGACAACTGGACCTATGAGTGAGTGTGAAGGATCCCCAACCGAGGATTCAACGTTTTACTATAGCTCCTGGGCTCGAGGGTTCATAAAACATTTTAGTGGCTCAGAGTAGGGTCTGCAGTCTTTACTTTGACCTCAAGAGCAGGTTCTTAGGCTGAATTTCTTGTGAATCATCTTCCCATTGCGGGAATAACACAATGACGCTGGAGGGTGGATGGAGTGCCCATGATACCTTTACCTGGGGTTGCCCTTCTGGGTGTGTCTACCTGAGATCTCTTAGATGGTGTTGTGTGCTGGCCAGGAGAGTGAAACAGCAAAGGGATCCTTTGGTGGCAACAAAGAACAGTAGCATTGTAGTCACCAGGAACCAGCGGGAGGCCAGCTTCTTGGACCTGACCAGCCTTCATGGATGGTCAGTCAGTGTCACTCAAACTGTGTAATTTGTGGAGGTTTCATAAAGGGACAATTTATAACTGTGTAATTTGTGGAGGTTTCATAAAGGGACAATTTATAAAGGTATGAACTAGAGGCAGGGAAACCCTGGTACTTGGGGAAAAAACAAGGGAGAACATAATCACTGAAATGGGAGGCGGGAGGAGAGAGGGGCAAGAGTGTGTGAACATGAGGAGTGTGTGGAGAGGCACCATATGGAGCGGCCACCTTCAGTCCTGGCTGGAGCAGGGTAGGAGCAGGAAGTAGAAACTCCTGCCTCGCTGGCCTCCTGCCCTCTGCTGTCCTGCCCTATTCCCTGGTGGTCTAATCCAGCTGAAGGACAAAGGACAAGGCAGCACATTGATGCTGCCCTATAGACCAGCTTCCCGGGGCACAGAGCAGGGCTGAAAAGGGTAGAGAGTGAATCGAAAGGGGCAACAGAAGATTCCAGCACAGTGGAGTAGAGGAGAGATCAGGAGGGGGTGTATGAGAGTGTCCAGAGCAAATCTTGGTCCTGAGCAGATCCGCGCCTGCGCAGGTGGTGTGCTGAGGCATTCTTCTTGCTTTGGCGTTAGGGTCGGGACCCTGTCCGCAATCCCCTAACACATAATGGGAGCCATCAAGGTCCTCAGTCCCTAAATGTTCTTCCCCACCCCCAAACCTTAACACTCCATCACTCACAGGTTGATCCCATTTTAACTTTTTTCTTTGAACTAAAAGGTTCTGCTAACTTGACATTGTCCTTGGCATTCATGACCCTACATGTAAGGAAGAAAGAAAACAAACACTTCCTGAGTCCCTACTCTGTGCCTGTACCCTGTGCAAGAGGTTTGACTGACAAAATCACTTTAATTGCACCACAGCCCTCTAAGACAAGTATTACTATCTGCATTTCACACACGAAGAAAATGAGGCGTGGGGGTGGGGGTCAGCCTGCCCATATTCAGAGCTCCAGTTTAAATATTTTTATAACCTGCTTAGTCCAAAGGCCATGCACTCCGATACCCCAGTGATTCCCAATCTTCAGAGTGCTTCAGGTAGGCAGAGGGGCTTGTGAACAAGGTGGGGCCTTTAACTGAGAGCAGGTGTTAATGTGAGAAGAGGGGGAAAGTCATCCCGAAGAAGAGAAGAGGATACGGCGCAGGCGAGGATGCTGTCTTAGCAGGTCCCACAGACTGGGAGGCTTATATGACAGAGACTAATTCTCAGTTCTGGAGCGGGGAGGAGCCCAAGATCAAGGTGCCCGCAGGCAGATGTGTTTCCTGGTGAGGACCCTCTTCCCGGGTTGCAGAGGGCCACCTTCTGGCTGTG